ATTTCTATTTTAGTCTACAAATTTACATTTTGTGAACAGGGGTAAAATAGATCCTATTAGCTAATAGTTTTTAATGTAAACATCTGTAAATGTATCTAAAACAATTACATTGAAAAAGCTGAGACAAATACACACACCACAGAATTACTCTAAATCAAGTAACAATTTAAATTCTATTAAAAAAATATAATTCTAAAAGAAACCAAACCATTCTAGTATTTGTTAAGTGCTGCAAAAGGACACATTGTTACAAAGAATACATCCTTCAGCTAACAGTCTTACTTACCTCTGCTAGAAACATTTGTGTGTAAGTTCATAAACTAACAAAAAAAATGTTTTTACACTTCAGCTTTGTTGCTATTTCTCCCTTTGTTTGCTTTTTTTAATTTTCAGATTTTTTTCTGAGTAGAACTTGTTCAGAATTTAATCTATGCCATTTTCTTCCTTCCTTAACATAGAATCTTCCCTTTACAGTTTGTCCTAAACAACCAGTTGATTGCAACTGAGGGCAAAAAAAGCAGCAGAAGCAGATGATGCTTAAACTAACACAAGTTCTTGACTTCATTCAAATGCTTCAACATACTTTACCAAAAACTGAAGGGAGAAAAACCAGAAATATGGTAAACTTGACTGAGCTTTAAAGGTTTAATGAAGAGTTGTAAAGTCTTTGAAAACAGGAAGTTTTTCTCAGTCTACATTTCAGATGCACTGTAAACAGAAAATAGTCTAACTACTTGTATAATCTGTTAAATTTTAGAGTAAAGCTTTGCTGGCCATCTTTCTTCTCTTTTAGCTGTTTCCTGTTTCAGATATCTCCAGGCAGTCTTCTGACTCATACATGAGTGGTGCTTCCTTTCTCAAAATTCCTCTTTTGCATATTTCTCAGCAAAACAAACTAATTTGATGGTTGAAAACAGCAAATTCACATAAAAGAAAATCCCTGCTACTATTCTGAAAATGCAAGCTCTAAAGAATTTTCTTCCATTCAGTGTTTCACATGATCTGTGGGGTTTATTATAATGTGCTAGCTCTCCTGTCTCCCTTTGTTTAGGCTTTTAAAAACCAGTCTTTGGCCAGGATTATTACAAGAAGGGCCTGCCATTTGTTGTTATGACAGGCATGGATTTACTGGAAAAGCTTTAGCTCTGTGCTGTGCACAGCAAGTGGGGACAGCACTGCCTCATTCCATCATGTGATGGCAGCTCTATCGCCTCCATTTGAGACTGGGAGCTCTGTACATGAGCAAGTCTACTCAGGTTTGTGTAGATAGATCTGAGCTTAACTCAGTCAAATGTCAGAGCAAGTCAGTCTGAACTAGCCAGACATTCTGACCTGTTGCCACCCATGTGATTTTGTTCCCAAGCTAAGACATGGTGGGTTTACATCTTCTCATAGATGTGCCCTGTGAATGCCAGTATCCTGACATTCTGCAATGCCAAATCTGTCTTTTAAGATCTTGTCTCTACATAAAAATTGTATTACACCAATACATTTATAGCTCCCCACAGTTCTCTGACCTGGACATATTAATATCAGGGTAAAATTTATGGTCTAGAGAAGGTTAAGTCACGTGAATAGTGTAAAAACATATTCACTCTGGAGTTTGTAGCATTGTTACTATGTTAGTAAAAACTTGCAAAATTTTCCATACCTATATATGCCCTGTCTTGGGCAAAAAAGTAAATTAAGGAAAGGCATAAGCCAATGTCTAACAGCCTGGCAAAGAAACTTCTCTTGGAGAAAAAAATGATGCCATAATAACAAATTACAAGATTTCACCTTTCTATTTATTTTGATGCAGCTTACCAACATTATCACACAGTCTGGGTGGGTTAACTAACTGAACTTCTGGCTTTATCTAGTTTGCAGTTATTGAAGTTCAGCCTTTAAAATTATGTCACAAAATATCTAGACGACAGAAAGGGTTACTTTGCAGGCATAGCCTTTATCATGCAAGTAAACAGCTGTGGGCAGGCAGAAGCAAGTTTGCTCCTCCCATGCTTCTAGCCTGAAGAATATGATTCAGCTCGAAGTTAGAAGTCCTTTAGAAGTGTTGTCATGGGACACCACTCACTCTGCTAAATCTTGGCACTAATTTATGCTGCTAAGCAGAAGCTGGGCTAATACCACCCACCAGTTCACAACTAGCTATAGTAAACTGCAAGGACGTCTCCAAAGAGTAGCTGTATGCTTACAGAACCAGGTCAGTGCATAGAGTAAGTTTTAGTGTTTTAAGCTCTTTTTTCCACAGCCCAGCAGTAAAGGAATTTCTCAGACAATTTTAATTGACTGGCATGAGGGATCATACAGAGACAACCTGTCATGGTTCCACAAGCAGCTTTTGACCAGACAGGAAATTACTGTCAGTGAAGCTGGAGTGTAGTGTTGCTTATTTCATTCTTTGTTCTGCTTGATGTCTGCATTATAAGAAAATATTTATTGAGCTAAAGCTCTGTTATACATATAAGGGATACTTCAAAGTTATTCTGTATTGACATTGGGTACTGACCTAAATTGCAGTGTCTTAGCTATGTTTTGTTTAGAGTTACTAAAAACACTTTGATCTTCACCTGCCTCTTTCCCCCACAATTCTTTATTCAATTAATCCATTTACATTTTTTTACTCCTGTCTTGTCATGCTCTCAGGTAGTCCCTAATTATTTCAAGGACCTCCCCACTCATGTGACAAAGCCTGTTTTCAGTTCTTCAGCTCCTGTTTCTGTCACATTTGATACAAACCTTTGAATCTTTAAGAAGTTTCTAGGCTAGAGCTTCAAACACTCACTGTGTAGTGAGAATACAGCAGAGAACTATTAATGCATTGTTTGTTTTTTCTTATTACTTTATTTATGGTGCAATTTTACAGCTTGATTTTATTGTTTCCACCTCAAAGGAAACAATATAGACCATCAAGCCAAGAACAAGGTTTATTATAGGACTCTTATCTTAGATCTGTTTGTAGCAGAATATTCTTCCAACTAGAAACTATAGAAATTCAAATGTACTATTTATATTTATTGATTGCACCTCCTTCTGTAGTTGCTGTCAAGCAATTTGCTATACATACTTCTCCTCCCTCCAGCAGCACTCTATATTTAACTCTCATGCCAAGGTCTTGTTTCTACAACTTCTGCACTGGCTGTAGCATGCCTCGTCTGAGCTGAAAACAGAGCTCAATCCCTTGGGCCAAATTAATTCCTGGAGTTGCTTGATTAAACACAGTGCATTTACACTGAGCACAGATTTGGCTCATACCTGACTTTGTCAGCATTCACTGTGCTGTAACTAAGTAACAAGAACACTGTCATTAGGGGACAGATGAATAGCTTTCTCTAAGGTTATTAGAGCACTGAGCACCTTTAAGGAGTGCAGAAATCTGTGAAAGGAGGAGTTGGGGAAAAGGACATAGCTCCTTTTAGAGTGTGTAACAGAACTGATAAGCTATTCCTGTGATGTGATCAAATGTGACTGAATTCTGCAGGCTCCTGGACTCTTATTCTATAAAATCCACATCAGAGCAGCACAGGAAAAGATCGGAGAGAAGAGCTTCTGCTCTACTGAGAAAGGTACATATTTATATTTTCTTATTTTTCAGGATTTACATGATTTGCTATCTATTTTAAACATTGGTGAATAAGAAGGAAGCAGTGTTTTACACATTCTGTCTGGTACTCATTGTCAGGAAGCCAGTCTGTGGGCAGCAACAGCTTTCACAGAGAAGGAGCAGGACATATTTGTGTGTAATGCATTTGTACTGTATTGTGAACCTGGAAGGTTGGAAGAAGTGAGATGAGATAACCCCAGCTAAATTGAAAATGTAATTTATAGCTATAAGTATGCTGGAATTTGGTACTCATTTGTATTCAAGAAAAAACTGAATGCAAGTCAAGCTTCAATTCAGTCATATTTGACTGAATAGCTGCTTTTATAAATGAGTTGCTGCAGCTGCATTTTATGGGGGTTTTCATTCTCAAGAGGGAGTTCTGCTACAGCAAAATATCTGTGAAGAACAGACAAAAAGCTAGTGCTTTTGCTTGCTAGCCCTGTTGCTGCTTATAGTGTATCTTTCACTCTTTATGGACATTCTTTACAGTCTGTCCTTTAAAGACAAACTCATACTTAACAATACTGTCAAGCACAGGTCATACTAAAGATCTACATAAACTTTACTTCATCTCTTTACTTAAGTTTACTTTTTTTCTTCTTACTCAGCCATAGACTCCTCTAACAAAGCCCTCAGGGTCAGAATCTCGTGCATTTGCACAGCACTGAAGTATTTAAATGCAAAAGGAAAATTTCCTCATTTACAGCTCTAGTTTGCCTCAGTGGAAAAAGGGTTTAACCACATTAACACTGCAAACAATGTACTTGTCACTCAATTTTAGCAATATTTCTTAGCAGCCTGCAGCTGGTATCATGTTTATCTCTGCCAGTCCCACACTGTTGTCTTTCAGCATTCCTTCAGGATCACTGGAATTAGAACTGATGGGGAATTTTCTGAAAAAACATGGTTTTGGCAGCAATTGTTGAAACCAGATCTTAATGTGACGCCATCCACTCCAGTTTTGCTAAAACTCTCTCAAGACAGATTTCTCAGAAAGCAATTTCTAGCTGAAGTAAGAGACACTCTGTGCCCACTCCAGCTACTTTTCTGAGGAGGACATTTACTTAGGATTTGAGACCAAGGTCTCATGCCCTGCCCTGTCTCAGTTAGGCTGCTTCTTTCCATGCAGTGCTTTGGTTACCTGCTGTACTGTATCTCACCTTGCCTGGCCTTTTAGAGCTGTTCATTTCTGCAGAAATACACCACCATTTCAGCAGCAATTTCCTTCCTGCTCTTTCAGATCCCTCTGTGGGTGTCCTCGCTACCAAGTTTCAGTAGAACACTCCCCCTGGCCTGAAGAGCAGCTTGTGGAAAGCAGAAAGCTGTGCTGGGAGAGAGATTTACACTAGATTAGCTGGTAGCCTTGGAAGCAGGGCAGGAGGACACAGTGGGGATTTGGGACACTGAGGGTTCAGCCCTTGATCTTTCTGATACAAAGAGAGAATGTGAAATCGTCCTGTCACAGGTGATTATGTGAGGACAACTAGCCATTTTGGTCTTTCCTCTTCCAGCCTTTTCTCCCTATCTCCATTTGTAGAAAAATTAATCAATAGGAGCTTTTTACCCCCTGGGGAACATTAAAAACTCAGCTGAGAAAACTCTTTACAGACCAGCTCCTAGTGTGCTGACAGGGCAGAGCACTTTGTACTTTTAGCAGTCCACTCTCTCCCAGGTGGGATTTGTACAATTCAGCTGAGCTACACCCACCACTGGCCTCAAACACTAGTACAAACAGTACAAATGCCTCTGCGGTTCTGGAGTGGAAATAAGGATTATCAGAAATAAATGCTTCCTTGAGGTACCTGAAAGGATCTTATTCCTAAAAAGGTGTCTTTGCTTAAGGCCTGGTAAAGTGCATTTCTTATCCTTGAAGAATTCTGTCACCCCAGACTCTGGCTTTAATCATGTTGTGTGTTGACTAGGCCAGTCTGGATAAATATGCTGCAGATCCTCATGGAGCTACTTGTTGGATGGAGATGAGGCCTCTCTATGTGGACAGTGTATTCTAAGCCTCACTCCTCTTTATGGGGCACATAAAAATTATATAAACCTTTTCCTTTGGGTTGTACAACCAAATACCACTTAGACAAGGGAGTTCTAAATGGGCAGCAATTATCCAAATTGAAATCTATCTGGGGAGAGTGGATTTAAACACCTTTATGAAGCCTATTTGATGGGTCTCCCTAGTAGGCAATAGGCACTTTTAAATTATTTTCACTCAGTAAGAAGAACCTGTATTTGTTTCCTTTCAATATGAGAGGAGGGGAAAAAAGACAAAAGGCCTAGGAGGAAAAAAACCCCCAAATCATCAGAACTTTACATTTATAGAAGTCTGAATTTGTGTAGTCATGGTAGTGAGGCTAGACTGTAGTAATTTGAAAAACTTAGGAATAGGGAAACACAGATTTAATGGAAGAAATTTATATAAAGTCTGTTCAGCTTGTTTTCATGATGTCAGTGGAAAATCTGAATGTCAAACTCCCAAGACTATGTTTCCATAGAAATACAAGCTATCCACATTTGGAAATATGCTGATTATTCTTCACAGTGTTGCACTCATTTGAAAATACAAAAACAGTAACAACAGAATAGGAGGTTTGTTGGTTTTTTTTTGACCTTTAAAAGTACTAAAATATAAAGCTGCTGAATTGTGTTGCCTGCAGCAACAGGATACAATAGGTTTGGCAAAAGTTAGTTTAGACTTTCTGACCAAAATACTCTGCCTTTCTTGCTCTTGGAAAAGAGAGAAAAGCAAAATGCCTCATTCCCAGAGACTGCCTCTTTAGTGACAGTCTAGGCCAGAGTCAGGGACTTCAGTCCCAGTCATAGCACAGATCTCCTCTGGCCTGGTGCAGAGCAACAGACGTTGTTATAATACATGTAGAAATGTGCTGACTCCTCTGCATTGGTTTTGCAGTTCTCCTTAAACAGCCAATTATCCTTATAATTATGCAAATCTCCTGCATACTTTGGTGCATGAGATACTTAAAGGCATAACTACAAACTCTTAAAGAATCTGAACTTAAACCTTTTTAACCCTTTTCTAAAAATAGGGGGTATGCCTACCTCCTTCACACAGGTATGTGTAAGTGAGATTTTAATCTTTTTAATTTGTATGGCTTTAGTAAAAAAACTCTAGAAAACTGCTTGCATTGCAGCATTCTTCTCTGCAGAGTTAGCAGCACTGTCTCTGCAATGAGTTAGGCCCTGTTGTCTACTACTGTAGACCATTTGTGTTACCCTCATACCATCAGACCAATGAAGAGATTCTTTTGTGAAAAAAACATTGAATGGTATAAATTTACCAGGCACTCCTCATTCACCAGATGATGTGAGCTAATAAAGTTTAAATTAGATTCTGAACCCTTTAGCAGCAGAATGCTAAAGGACTGTCTAGATGGTTGGAGACTTGTAGTCAACTCTCAAAAAAACAAGCTGTACTTGGCAGTTAGATTAAATGCATGAAAAATTAAAGCAAGATTTGGTGTAACATCATCTTTTCTCAGAGGTCTGATTTGTCAGGAGGCTGAAATCACTTAAGAAAAGTGTTTGAAGCACTGTTTGTCTCCCACATTTTCCCTGTTGTTCATAAACTCAAAAATAATAATGCCACATAGGTGTTTACTGTCTTGGTATCCCAAAATTGACCTGTTTAGTTAATGTGGATCAAATAACTTTGGCTTTCCTTAGGTGCTATCTGTATCTCCACAGCAGGCACTTTTCTGACAAAGATTAATCCAGCTTTACAACATCTTGAAAATTACAGAAATGGCAGTAGTGTTAACTTTTGTGACAACAAAGATGTAGGTAAGACAGCTCCCCCAAGCTCAGATCAGAAAAATATTGCCAAAATGAGACTCAAACCTAAGTCCCCTGCTTTAGGGTCACAAAGTTTATTCTTGATTCAGTCCTAGAGAATAGCAGTCTAATGTATATGCTGTCTTTGTAGAAGAGATTTTTTGTAATTATGTCTAGGATTTTTTTTTAGTACAAAGTAAAGCAGTATCAGTTTATCCAAGCTAAAATTGTAATGAGAGGTTGTGTAATTACTCTTATAAGGATTCATCTTGATTAGAAAAATGTTCTATCCAACAGTTTTCAATCTCCCAATTATTTTAATACCTGACAGCTCTTATTTTTGCATCGGTAGGAAATGAGGTCTTGTTTATTACTCATAATATAATGACCTAAGTTTCAGAATATTTAAATAATCAAATCTGATACTTTTAAAATCTACTAAGTGTGAAACTCAGTAAGGCATATGTCCTTATTAAAACTCAGAGCACTTAGAGGTACTTACTTTCAACACGTTTATTTATGTTTATTTTTCTTCTCAGTAAATACCAGTTTTTAGCAGAGGGAAATGGTTTTGGATTCTGAGGGAGAAAGAGTAGCAATCAGTAGTTTAGATCACACATCCATACATCATCTAATAGTGTTGTGAAAGCTTCAGTTTTTATGAAACACAGAAAAATCTTGATTTGAATTAACTTGATTACTTGGAGTTACCTTAAAAATTAGTGTTACCAATTGTTCCAATCAAAATCTTTCACTTCAAGGAATTCTAAGACCAATTATTTTTTACAGTACTTGGAAAAATTTACCTAAAGGGCTGGAAAATAGCATTACTGAAGATTCTTATTGTAACATTTGGTGAAATGGCTTGAGTCATCTGTACAAGAATAAACAACTAGATGTATTTTTTTATGGCCAATCACAAGGAAGTTTTTATGTCTTTAAAAAACTGGAGATTGTATAATAATAAAGGGGTAGTGAATGCACTCATTTAACTTTTGCTGCCATAATAATAGATCCCCAAGTCTAAGCCAGCCTCTTGAGGCTTCTTTTATAGCCACTGGAATGACTTAGGCGTTTTATCTTCAAGGGCAGGTAAGTTGAGGCAGCAGATTCCCACTCTTTGTGTTTCCTTCTCTCTTTGAAAATGTCCCTTTAAATCTCTGTAAACTGAAACAGGTACTCACATTTAAAAGCTGATCATTTGATTATGGTTTGCATCAGGGAAAAGCTGCTGAACTGCATTATCAAGTTATGATTTGGTCTTACGAAACCTGCCAAAATCAGTAAGATTAGATGCATAAGAAAATAACCCAGTACTTTGGAAAGACTCATCAGTAGTTTGACAGGTTTAAGCATGAAATTTTAATAAGTTTTCTTTTAAACTCTGTCTTCTCAAAAACAGTTTTAGTGATGTGTTATTCATTACTCTCCATATTGTTATCCCTCTGGTTTTCAGTTTATTTCCTTGCTGAATTTTTCATTTTGCCTGCTATTTTCCACTTCAAATTCTAGCTTTCAAAGAGAAGGCTCACTTTATCATGGTGTTCCTAATACACAGAAAAAGCTGCAGTGCTAACCTGTGTGTCTGGAACCTCAGTATAAGCATTAAATAATAAGAGTGACTGCCTTGTAATAAGTGGTTCTGGGAAACTTGACTATGTGCAAGTTCAGTTTTATTGCATATTTAATGAATCTCATGAATCCACATAAAAGCTAAAATTACAGTTGCATTTTCTAAAGCTGTCATAACATGACTGTCTCTTACGTAGTGGTAGCTTTAAATTGGTTGAATTACACACTTAATTTTCATATCCAATATATTCCAGCTGAGGCTATGAAAGGAATTATGTCTTTTGGTACAGATTTTTTTTCCCCTCTGGGTGCATGACCATCACCAATGCATCTTGCTCTTGGCAGTCTGCTCTTACAGTCTGCTGCTACCCCTAAATTTATTTTCACATCTAAGGAGACAGAAATTAAAAAGAGAGACAACCTTTGAAAAAGAAACTGTGTTAAAAAGAAAAAAGAAAACAGGTGTTTCTTGCTCATTCCTTTTAAAAGTTACCTTCTCTGGAAAGTGTTTTTCAGGATAATGGTCTTCTAAAGGAGCTATTCTAAGAACAACCCACACTGCCAGTTTATAGAAGCACTGGGGTCTTATACTGCAATAATAATAACAACAATAATCATCACCCTAATAACTGAAAAAACATTAATTGATACAGCAAAAACAAGTGAACTTGTCTAGGAATGGAAAAGAGCAGGATGTACTGTATAGGTTGTTGCCACCTGTGAGGATCTGTGGAGGCAGATGGGCTCTGCTGTGACACATGGTAGCTTCATGTGGGACTCACAAGTGCAAAGTCTGAGGCACTGTAAGAAATGGATCCTGCTGAGCACTTGATCATTTGAGCTTAAATTTAAAGCTTTTTTTGTCTTCTTCACAAACACATTACACAAAATCTGTGAACCAAGCAGTGCAAACCAGCAAGTCTGATCTAAGTTGAGTGCTTTCCTCTGCTCTGGCTAACTTAAGATGTGTTAAGAAATAGCATTTCACAGGCTGCAGACAATTAGGAGGTTGTCCTTCTTTAAGACATGGGCTTTTAAGCATGTGGTGTCTTGTAATTTTAGTGCATAAAGACTGTAGCAATGTGGGAAAATAAGACAATGCTGACATACCCTCCCATGCCTGGGAAGTGAAGTGAAAATGAAGGGGCAGGATTTTACTATGAAACAGGGCCTTTTTGTTAAGGTAGAAAAAGAGGTCCTCATAGTCTGTCCAAAAAAGAAGCTTCAACATTTCTGCAGGACAGGGACTGGGGCTGTTAGCCTACAGATGCTGTCTCTCCCTGTATTGAGAAATCTCACCAAATGGTCTCATATCTATAATAAGCAATAAATGAGGAAAGCTGTTCCTCAAAAAAATACACTAGTACTTTCTGCAGTTATCATCCATTCTTACTGTCTGACAGATCTTTGAAGGGCAGCCCCAAACAGGCTGGCAGAATCTTGTACTGCTGAAGCAACAGCCTGTGGCAAATTGTACTCAGAGGATGCCAACATGTCCATTGTAACCAGAGAATTATATCTGGCAGTAGTCTGAAATAATTCTGAATGCCAACAGACTTCATTTCTAGAGGGACCTGACTATCATTGGAGTGCCACCAAGTGAGGTATGCAGGGTTCATGCAGTTTCCCTTGTCCAAAATCAGGAAGGTTAGATACCTGCTGGCAGCAGTAAATTGTTTCTGGGCTCCATCCATTCATTGCAGTTCAGAATAATTACTTCTCAACTATGTCAGTAATCCAAATCCATCCACAGTGACTATACAGTCAACTAAGCCATGAAAGCCAAGTGAAGACAAGCCAAGTGAAGCTAGAGAGATCTTTTTCTGTTAAACCAATGATATTTTCATAGCTCAATCCAAGTTCTCAGTGGACAGATAATGTGGAACATCTTCATGTAGAGGAACTAGAAAGAGCAGAAGTCCCATCTGGAAGGTGCAGGACACTTTGGCCTAATCAGTAGAACTAGTAGTGCACAGAAGAAGAAAAAAATATTACGTCCAGGTCTTCATGGTCCTCTTGAGGTAAAGCAGAACGTTCTTAATAGCTAGGAAACAAAATTCTGGAAGAATGATTTTAATGTGCTAATGTTGCTGGCAAGCTCTGAAAAGTAAATGTGTCAGGTCAGACCTTATAAGGAAAGCACTGAAGATAATTATTAACATTGGTGACTACTTGAAAGCAAAAGTAGTAGACTTTTAACTGCTCCAAACAAGTAATACTTGGCTGTGCAACTAAGATAAGTGGATGGGTGAAAAAAATATCATCTGCACTGTAGGTTGGGTGTATCTCCATGGAAACTGTGTCAACTTCTGAACTCAGAATGTGTTCTGCATGATGATTCAAAATGTAAAGCATTGAAGTAGACTTTTCCCATGTGTTCCCATATGTGCCAAGTCCCACTACTGACCACCCATAATATTTCCTAGGACATCTTTGGCGAAACAAACAAAAAAGGAAAGACATAACAGGTAGGAAGAGATCTGGGGGAACATTTGGCTAATCATATACAGCTCCTGTACCTCTGGTCTTGGGCAACTTGACCATGTTGTAGCAATGGTTTAGCTGAACTCCAGGTAGGTGGAATATTAATAAAACTGCAAGCTGTTCACCAAGCTGAAAGAGCAAAAGACTCAACAGAAAGAAGCAGAAACTATAAAGGGTTGAGTGTTGTGTTCTTTAAAAATAACAGTTTAAAAAACAGTGCAACTCTAACCAGCAAGCTGAGGTTAAGAAATTTGTTCTGAATCCTTTAGACCTGTGTTGAAATGCTTCAATAGACTTAACAAATGAACTTGGCATTCATTCTTTGTAATAGCAACTGGAGCACATTCCAACCTGTGCTCTCCTCACTTTGCAAATCACAGCTCTTAGTTTGGCACCCTCTCAAAGGCTAAACCAATTCCTTACTTTTAAGGACCCTTTCTTTATCAGATATTTTGTGTTGTGACTCCTGCATCAAAGTAAATGCACCTTCCTGTATACAGGCTTGTCTGAAATCAGCTGGGTACATGGCTTTGATGGGATTTATTGCTTGAGATGTACAGGGTGACAGGCATCCCATCTGCTGAATTTTATGTTCAAATAAAACTCAGAAACAGAAACACACACCACCCATGCTGCACACAGGGGCACCTGCAGCTATGATGCTGAATTTTGGGGAGAGAATAGGCACAGCCTCATTGGATAATTTGAGCTGGCCCATCAGAGAAGTATGAAGTGCCCTTTTGTTACATCCCTTCAGTTTCTGGAGCCTGGGCTCTTCTCCAATTCAGGGATTCAGCTTTATGCTTTTTATAACAAATGAGAAAACATCCCTACTTTATAAAAGGAAATGTATCTTTTGTTCTGAAAAGTATCAGGTTGATGTCTCATGTCAAGGGCTTTATATGCCTGAAAAAAAGCCTACTCTGCTGTAAACCATCCCACCTGACTGCTTCTGCTTCAATGCTCTGAAAGTAAAGAGGAAGGCAGAGTCCTACTAAAATTTCAAGCTTAGCTTCTCTGCAGAGCATGCAAAGGGCAGATGCTAGCAAAAAGGTCTGCATGCAGGGTAAGAACTTAGGACCTGCACTGATTTGAAACAGAATGTTACCTAACAGTGCCCCATTTCTAACATAGTGCCCAAAATCAAAGGCTGATATGTTCCATATTTTCCTACCTAGGCCAGCTTAGAAGTTGCTAAGTGCTCAAAAATTAGGAGACTGGGATAATATGCAGGCTCTAATTGAAGACTTTAAATCCTTTGAAAATGGTTAGAACAGATTTGATGCTGAAAGGCTCCTTGTGCAGAGGCATGCTTGGAGCCAGGACTGAGCAGCTGTGTGGGGGAAGGGACCAGACTATTAAAGCTACTTGTTGACTGCCTGTAAAATTGGCTTCTGAAGGGAGTGCCACGGAGCACCATCCACTGCCAAGTGACAGAGACTGACTTTCAGCTACTCTGGATAGTATCATAATTAAACTCTGTGTGTTCCTGTTCAGTATGGTTGGTTGTGGGTTATTTAGCTTAATATTTACAAGAAAAATAGGTCGCTCCCGTGCCACCTTAACCCTGGGCTGTTATTCTCTTTTTTTTCCAGATGCTGGAGAGCTCTTCTGGCCTCATTGTCCTCGTCCTGCTTTTCATTCTGCTGCTCATTGTGGTGGTCATCAGGAAAAACGGCACTGCTGCCCTTATCTGGAATGAAATAATCCGGGAGAAAATAACCAATTTCATCATGAATAAGAGCAAAGAACAGAGGATTTTAAATTTCGTGCTGCAGAATGCAGTCCGAGGAGACCCCCGTAGTGTGATGGACACTATAGATAAGTACTGCTCCCAGAAAGAGTGGGCCATGAATGTGGGCGATGAGAAAGGTAATTGCAGCAGGGATCAGCATTTGAGAGCTCCTTCAGACTAGCACAGTACAGGACATCTTATTGTTTTCACATGGTAACTTCCATCTCTTCCATCTGCTGCAAGAAAACAACCCACAACAGCCTTGTGGTCAGCAGAGGAGTTCTGTAAACTGTAATGCAGGCTTGTGCAGATGTCTTTGAGGAGGAGTGTCCAGTGAGTGTCCAGTCATAGGACCAGATCTGGGCTTACATGCTGTGTACATTGTGTGTGAGCAGAAGGTGACAATCTATGGGAAAAATCTAGATTGTATTATACCTCCACTCCTATGCAGGCTGGCCTTAAGGTATCATTCATTATGCTAAGTACTTTCAGATTCTTAGCCAAAAGACAGCAGATTAGAAACAAACAAAAAAAGTATTTTAAACTATATGGATTTTGTATGTGCAAGTATAAATTATAAATTAACATTGAGGGGAGAGATCCTTCCCATGTAATACACAAAGGTAGCTATCATACTTTGCTACTACTTAGTAAATCAACTTGTTCTTGCCTCCTAAAGGAAACTATGTGGACAAAACATTTTTTTTTCTTAGCTGCAGGAAAGTGTCAATCTTTTAAAAAAACTAAAATAGCAAAATGAACATGTTTCCTTATGAATTAGACAGAAAAGTACTGGCTGGGAAGCTGCAGAGGAAATTTGCTTAGTCTGGGATTAACACAGATGATGAAATACAACTGTAACTATTGCAATAAAAATGCTTCTCTGTCAAGGGCACATTTTGTGAAACTGGCTACACTGCAGGCCAGGCTGGGGTCCTGAACATGGGGAACAGAACAGTAGCTGGTGGCTCAGTAGCAATTCTTAAAGCTCTAAACTTTGATCATTCGGGATGATATTCTTAAAAATGTCACTCTAGTTTTGCTCTGACAAGATGACATTTCCTTATAGAGAAGTCATGAAATTTAATGCATCTTTAGTTCCTGAGATTTCAAGAGTGACCACATGATCTTAAGATGCAAGCATCTTAATCACATTATTCATAAACAAATGACACCCAGGAAAATGTCACATAATAAAATGTAAATGTACATTGAAAAATTCCATGGTTCAGAATAAAATAACTTCAAATACTTTTTCAGATTAGTTATCTAGTTTCTAGCTACACAAGTAAGAGGAGTTTTCTCGCACACAAATCCCTTTGTGCAGAAGGACTGAATATAATACACTGTCCCTTCTTTTTGGGAACATTTTTCTGTTGTTAACAATTGACTACTGTTTTCCATGCCACAAATTCATCTAGCGAATCTAAGTATTTTGCAACTTTATAATTTGACTTCTCTCTTTTCCCCATAAAAACAAGTACTTAGGATGAGAATTTTTGTATCACACTACTGCATGTGACATTAGCTACAAATATGAGCACTTGAAATCTAGGAGTTAAATATTTAAAAAATAGGGCTAGTTTCTGCAACAAGTTCTTGGAAAAAGCCACTGCATTTTTCCTTTGTAAGACTAGAATTATTTTAGCTAATTCAGGCACTTCCTTGCTCAGAATTGTTTATATCGTGAAACTAAGGAAGATACTTTTAAAATTAAATTTTGCAATTTGAAAATTAAAATTGTCCCATGATCAACTTGATCACAGATAAGCCAACTAGCAAATAAAACAGTATAATTTGACATCAACACTCAGTTTTTTAATGTCCTGAGCAATTTGAGTACCTGGACTTTGTAAGGTTTTTTCACTAACTTGTTTTTCTGTATGTGAACGAGTTTAATTTTGCCAAAAGGTAACGCTTTTCTATTTTATTCAGGTTTAATTCTAGACAAGACTGTGGAAGAGGTCCAGCCATCAGTTGCACTGGAACTAGGAACATATTGTGGCTACTCAGCCGTTAGAATTGCCCGGCTCCTAAAGGCAGGAGCTCGTCTCATCACTGTAGAGTTCAACCCAGAATTTGCTGCTATAGCTAAACAGATGATCGAGTTTGCTGGAGTACAAGATAAGGTAAATATCATTTGACTCTGGTTGGTATGAAGAAGGAATACATGGAGAGCTGGAATTATCCATAGAAACAACAATAATAGGTTTGTATTTCTTACTTGTCAAGCAAGTATGCACCCTAAGTGTTTCGGAACATGCAGAATTTAACCATCAGGCTTGATAGCAGGGAAAAGCTACCAGTGTCCATGCAGCGGACAAACATCATCTGCTTTTTGGTATGTATCTAAATTTGTTAGCATCAGGAGTCCATCAAATATGATGCAGACCAAGCTGACAGCCAGGGTGGAATTTGAGGTTTGTCAAGGTGTGTGTGACCAAAACAACCAGGGCTGTTCTACAAAGTGCTTTGCTGTGTGAGTAAGGATGAAGATTTGTAGGAGCAAGACCAGAACAATAATATACATCCATAGCTCCTTAATGCTTTGAAAACATTTAGCCTTCATCTTCCAATTTGGCCTTTTCACTATTCACTGGTTAGTACAGCAGACAGGTCATTTGCTAAGTGACTGTAAGACTAAGAGAGGCCTGGAGGGAGGCTCTGGATTCACTTATTTGACTTACTATAGTCACAGGACATCAGCACACAGTCCTTTTCATAAAATTGGTAACCACTATCGCAAAACTGATTGGATTTACTGCCATTATTGAACTGAAAAGCTGCTCTGAGTATTCCTCCTCCTGAGAATCAGAAGCCTTTCTATGATTTCCATCCAATATTAATAATAAACAGTCGTCTTCTTTTTTTCTTGCACCCACAGTCCTTATTAACTGGCTCTTTTCCTAGTTACAATCCCTGA